GTGGAGAAACCTGTAGTAACCCTGAATACAAGGAGGGGGCAAGCAACCTTTGACCCTCAACTGCAGCCCCCAGAGAAGCTTGGCCGGGCAAGCTAAAACAATAAAACACCCACGACTGCAGAATGATTGCCTGAGCAACATTCTACTCAGCTGCACCCTGAACCTGGAGGACTGGCAGGCAACCCTTCTGGTCGGATCCAGAATCATTTCCTTTCGTATTGTGTGCACATGTGTGTGTGTGTGTGCGTGTGCGCGTGTGTGTGTGTGTGTGTGCGCGGGTGTGTGTGTGTGTGTGTGTGTGTCAGCCCCTGTTTCTAAGTGACTGCGAATCTTTGCAGGGGGATCACCCACCGGGATCTGCTTTTCAACAGGCCTGTGGATTGGTTCCTCAGTTTGTTAAACTGTTAAACTATACTGTTCTCGGACTCTCCACCATGCCGTTGACCAACCAAGGTCTATTACAGTAACTGTAAAGGGCTAATGCATGACAACTGAATATCGGATTGTGCTCTTCCGAGCGTTCTTCTAAGTGTCACTAGCTTCTCTGCCTTCTGGTCATGCTATTGACCAAGCAGTGATTATCTTTTTAGACCATCTTGCACATGGGAGTGGCATGACTGCCCGGGCACTCGAGAAGATCGATTAGCTGATTCACATACAGTAAATGGTCCATCAGCTGTGGCGACAGACTTGATTGGTGTGCAGAAAGTACGATCTCAGAAAGGTGCGATCTTCCACTTCCGTGATTTGTTTGACACAGGGTGTATGGGTGCTAGGACCTGCTAGAATGCTTTTCCCTGTGCTGAGATGTTCTCGAGAATACCAGCGGAGCCTGAGGGGTGTCACCAACTATATATGATATACTGTGAAACTTGGAATGTGAGTGGAGTACCTATGAGCTCACATGAAGATAGGCCAGCACTTTAAGCGGTTCATATCATGGCAATTCCGCTAGATTGGCTATGGTAAGCATGCTTACAGTATCTTTCTGAATATATTTCAATTACTCAAATATGTATAAATATGTAATGAATGATCAAATCACCTGATCAATACCTGTACCCGCTGTACCCACAAAGGTTTCACTTTTGCTCGCAAGTCTTGAGTTCCGGGCTGCCAGAGGCTCTAGGCGTCGTTCCTGCCAAGCGTGGCCAGGTGATGGTTCAAAAGGTTTCTCTGCCTTCAAGGGGCGTCCAATGGAGGTCCCTTAATAGTGTAGGGGCTTCCATTGGTGACCCCTTTGAAGGTGCTGGTGTGTGTTTCGTTTTAAATTTGTTTGCATTCCAAAAAATGAAAACACCGAAGATGGTCTTGCGACATGATTCATGATGGTCTTTCCATTTTGCATTGCAAAGTGATGGTCTTTAACATGCAATCCACACGCGCGAATGGCTCATGCGTTTGCCCGTGCTTGTGATTACTTTTCACGGCAGGTTTCTACCCCCGGGCATTTGTTGGTAGGTCGTGCCTGAGCTGGAGACAAAGGTCCAGATTTCCATCGTGGTGAACGATCTGACTTAGGCACTTCACCTGGCCATACCAAACGGAAAGAAATGCTTGTTTGTCTATAAGCATATTATCCATGCATATCCCCAGATCGCCGATATTCTGTGTACAAGCTTCAGGTCGAAATGAGGTATATGTTATATATTGATATTATGGAAACCGAGTGAATAAATCTAAAGCTTCAACAAATCGCACCACAGACAGAGAACCATGGCTGGTTCGAGATTTCTGGGATCTCTTCTTCGCATGTTTGTCTCCAAAATCAGGTAGGCCATCAAAAGGAACTACTGTTTCATCCATCTACTGGCCGCTAGCCATCATCCATGCAGCCGAAATGGGCTTCGGAAAAACACGAAACGCCCCACAAACGCCCTGTCCCACGGAGGTCTGGACTGTCACACCGGGAGCCAAAGCACCCAGGGAGCCACGCCATGATGCTGTGTTGCTTTCGCAGCTCTTGGACACCGGGACGATCCAAGAACCTCTCAGGTCTGTCGGAAGCGTGTCAAGATGTACGGGTTGTGCATCATAGATCACTGCAGGCAAGGCAAGCACGAAAGATCACCCGAAATCCAGCCAATCTTGGGGGAGGCACTTCATCGACTTCGTTCTCGTGTTTCTCATATTGGCCTCGGGAAACTGTAGACTGTAGGCCAGCTGAGTCTCAGCATTGCATGTTTCGCCATATTTGATGCGTGTATCATATCTGTAAATCCCAATCGAATCTAGAATATGACGCAATCAGAACTGCTAAAAAACCTTCTTATTACAAGAAGCTACGAACGTAACAAGTGCATCGCTACGTTCGTAACAAGTGCCTTACTAGTAGTAACAAGGTTCGCTACACCATCCTTTTTCCTCATCCCATTCACCAAGGCATACAGACGGCATCCCATTTGTCGCCGATGTCGAAGCGTTCGGACCCCTGAGGATCGCCTCACCTCCGCATCCCCTTTGGGCACCGCGGCGGTGGCTTGGATCAGGGCTTCCCGTTCATGGCCACTGTCCCCAAAGGAGAGGATGTTTCTTCTCCTGCACAGGTTTTTCAGACCCAAAGACATCACCATGAGCTGATGTCGCCTTTTGCTGGTATGTATGTCTCGACATAAACACCCGTCTCCAGAAGAATCTGTTTCTGGGTACACGTATGTACACGTGGCGTCACCCTCTACATAATTATCCCCTTTCACAGGGGTCAAAAATAGGAGCGCTTTCGATTCATGGCCATAGAAATGACAGGTGCATCAAGCAGAGTGCGATTCATCCTTGATGCACCCTGCGACCATGTGAAAGACGTGACGCCCTTGGCGCCTAGAGAGATCACCAAAGACCCGGCCGATCTCAAAGGCGAACGCCCGCTGCTTCCACTGGAGCGGCTGGGGGGCAAAGGACTGTAGGACCGTGAAAAGGGGTGAGGAAGAGATTTCTGCCTGACTCGTGTCAAGATACAGCGTCCCAGCTAGCAACAGAAATAAGAGTAAGTATTCATGCCCCTAAATCAGTCATGATGTGAACACATGTCATCCTTTAGGCTCCTGTGGGGTCACATGTTTGTGCAATGTTCAATATATATATATATAGTTTTGTATAATTCAACTAGAAAGAGATTCTCATCAGCCCCTTTAAACTTTAAACCCCCTACCTCAAAGGGCGATGAAACCAAGGGAGTCTCGAACTGCGTGCGTGCTGAGAGGACCTGCACCTGGCAGAGAACCGACGTCTTCTGTGAAAGGTAATGGGAGGCATTCTGCCCAAAAGATCGACCCGGGTCAAAACAAGCAAGTGAGGAATGCAAACATCCATGCAACTAAGGCCCTACCAGGCAAAACCACTTGTATGTAGTTCTGACAGTTGTATGCAGTTCCGAGTGTCGCTGGCCAGGATCCAAAAAGGGGGTGTCGCATTCATGCTCGGTGTCATCCTTGTTCTATGAAAAGTGCAAAGAGCCTCAAATAGCTGTATTGCATTGTATTGCCAAATCTAACTTGCACAGTAGATGTCGATTGATTTGACTTGCACCATCTAATATCATTTCAAAGAGGTTCCCATATAGTAAAGCTTGTTGTTCAGCAACACATCTTGCGAAGTTGTCCCACTCCACACCACCCAAGATTCGAAACCCTCTCTCCCCATGGCCCCATCTCAGGCCTTTGCCAAAGCAGGGTAAAGATGTGGCATAAAACGTTGGCAGCTTTGTTCGACCTGTGTGACCGATCAACCCCTCGACGACGGGGTCCAATCCGCCGTCGGTACCGCAAAGCAAAACGAGGGAAATCCCACAGTCCAGGGCTACATCCTACTTTTGAAAACGGAATTAGCTTTGTCAAGATCTCTTGCTCAGGCAAACCTGGAACTAATGATACAATATACTATGTATATATATAATGCTCTAAATCGATTAACGCATCACCAAGAAGGACAGTGGGAGCAAACAGGCCTGGGCTGCTCAGCGTCATATGCTCAGCGTCATGGGACACTGACAGTTCAGAACAACAAGTGTTTGCAACGAATAGATTTGACCTTTAAACCGTTCCTTCTGTCTTCCTGTCTTCCTGTCTTTCCTTCTTTCCTTTCACTTCCTTTTCTCTTCTCTTCTTTGCTTCTCTTCCTTTTTCTCTGTTGCTTCTCTTTTCTTTTCTTTTCTTGTCTTGCCTGTCTTTTTTCCTTTTTCGCATGGATTTCAAAACACCTTCACCTGCACATCTGGCCTTTTCTGGGGGCCCACACCCATCCACGCTCCGCGTTCGTCACCAGCAACTTAGTTTGCTCCGCGTTCGTATGCTGGATCTGACCAGCCACAAGGCTTGATCAAGGTTTGGGATGACTATCTCGTTTCATGTGGCGGGCCGAAACCGTGGTGTCTCGAACCTTACAACGGACGAACTAAGAGAAGTTAAGTGGCCTTATAGGACCTTACTGGGGTACCTATGGGATAGTCTATAGATGTCTGTAGGGTTCTTCAACTTCTGTTGCAACCTCTTACTGTACCGGTAGAGGGAGACTAGCAAAAGTAGATCGAAGGGGATCGTCACCAGGGCGCCACGGTGCCAAGTTCACTGGCGAGGGCCAAGGTTCGGGTGGCGAGCCTGGCACGAGGTCGGGAAAAACGGAAAACGGACCTTCTTCAATCAATGGTTTTCAGTTATGAACGGTTTTTCGTTCACACCAATTGTTTGGGAGGTCTTCAGGACCATGCGTCGGTTCGAAAAAGCTGAGTCAACTGATTCTCATTGAATGAAATAGGTAATAAAGATGTAATTATGTGTGTATATATATATATGTAATTACACTGTAGTGTGTGTTTCCGTGTTTCCTATGTTCTAAAATGTTCTGAATAACAACATCTGATGGTGCGTCTGTGCGTGTGTGGTGGAGCCCACTTGTTTTGTCGATCTCCATCGAGAGCCGCCCCGGGGCGTCCACGCTTTTAGTTGCATGGGGGCTCAGTCTACGCTCTCGACTCCCTAGCAGCGACTTTCGGCTTAGCATGTGTTGAAGCGAACCCGCTGAGTGTCATGAAACATACAAAGCTTGAACGCATTTTTCCACAGCAATGTTTCGGCTGCTCAGATTGGCTCAGCCTTTCATCCTCTTTAGGAATGCAGCTTGTTCTGTGCGAAATTTCCGGACAGCAATTAAATTCCGTTGGAGAGTGGCCAAGTCTTCCGTGAGAGCTGCCCAGCCTTTTACTGAAGTAAGCGCTAACACCGATCCCACATCCGAGGCTGAAACCTCCAGGCTGTGAGGTGCTGGGTTCAGCAACCCCTGAGCGCTGGAACCTAACGGGCTTGGAGCCCCCCAGTCACTACGAAAATCCTCTGAAACCTCGCTCAAGGCACCATGCTCGTGAGCATCTTGTTTGGAAATTCTTCCGTTGGTAACTAAACCAATGCCTGCCTGCTTTGCCTCTTTCACAGCATCACCCGCAACCTCCTGCTCAACTGTTTTGCTTGGCTCCGTCTCCTTCATGCATCCACTTGTCGTTGCAGCATTCCCCGAGTCGTTGCCTTCTTCAGAGCGTCGGCTCGAAGTTGCAGACCAAGGGCTTGAATCCTCTGACTTGTTCTGATCCATCCTGGGACCACTGGGGGCGTCCTCGGGGCCCTGGTTTGCATCATCATGTTCTGAACTTTCCACCAACTCTGAAACGAAGCTCTCATCATGGCTTGCATTTTCCTCCTCTGCATTGCCCACTGGTGCTTTCGAGTGCGTGAGTTGAGCCTCGGTGTCGTTGGTATCTTCCAGTTGTCCTGGCTTTCCAGGTAGTTTCCGGTGTTCCTCTAAGAGGGCTCGAAACTGCTCGTCACAAGGATGATCCCAGGAGCTTTCTTCCGTCGCTAAGTTAAAGTAGAAAACTTCGCCCTTGTTTGTACAGGTTTTCCAGGGTGGTGGAACTGGAGCTGCCACTCCTTCCCGAGCAATCCACAGCAAATGCCTCTCCGTCTTGAGGTCCATGCCAAGAAACTCGGCATATTCCAGGACTTGCTCTTCTGTTGGATCTTCATCATCGTCTTCCAAGAATTCAACATCTGACTCGGAATTTGTCATGGCCACATTAAACCACCACAAAAAGAAGCAAATCCATGTCCAACACTACGCTATTCCAAACTGATGAAAGCAAAGGCTTGGGGCAGTCAGTCAAAAGGGTTTTTCATATGTAGCATTGACCGATCAGAACAAGGAAGAGGGGCTCTTCAGCATGAATACTGGCAACTAAACCAAATATGTGGGTCAAGATGATAGTGATTCAGTGATAAGAGTGAAACACTGTGTCTTGCCTGCTGTCATGCATGCACATGATCAGCTGCAGTCAGCCCAAGCCGGAGAATGTCGGCCAACAACCAATGTCAGTGGCAGCTACTATCAGTATCACATCTGCACGTCTGAATGTTTTCCCGCGACATCCGCAAAATGCTGGCAACCGGCCTGCAAAGCTCATCCAGCTGCTCCTACGGTTTTCACTGCACCGTTTTGGCTTCACCAGAAAGGATGCACAAAAGGAGACACAGCCCGGCACAGGGGATTCTTTTTGCAGGATGTGTTCAACGTGTTCTTTCATTCCGAAGGCGTCAACCTCCAATTGACGGTTCTGCCAAGAAATCTCTGCGTGGTTTTTTGGGCGTTTAATGCTTGTTGATCAACAATGAGGAAGTTTTGTTACCATCTGGTCTACCAAGAACCTGTCCTTCTGCTGCTCTGAGATTCTCACATCTCCTTCAACCTGCAAGCCCTCTTCGATCACCTCAAGGGCGAACCACAGTGGATAATCAGCTAGGATTACCCAGACCCAGCCTAGTGTCCTCCTACTTCAGATTTGGATGAGGGCATGCTCCATCTGTTGAATTCACTGTGATGACCAAGAACATGAACATGGCCATCGTGATAGTTACTGTACCAGCTGAACGTCTGGCTTAAGAAAAATATTCTAGACATTCAAGTCTCTGTCAGTTGTGAGTCAGAGTTCCCTGAAAGGCTCTGCTGGGTTGTGCTCTCGCCTCAACAGTCCACAGAAACAAAACGAACATCCCAGTCCCCGACCCAAGAGAAAGGCATGAAGGTGTCGTCCCAGTCAAATATGATGAGGGTCTCCTGGCGCATCTCTTTTCGACTTTTTGCTCGACTGATCACCACATGCACTCACGCAGACTCTGGAATGCAGACTAGAAACAGACTAAATTCTCAAACTTCGTAAAGGGCGTGCTGTGTGTACTGCTCTGAGAAAACCAAGAGCATCATCATCGTCGTCGTCGTCGTCGCCGTCGCCGTCGTCGTCGTCCTTCTCCTCCTCTTCATCATCATCATCATCATCATCTTTCTTTTCTTTCATACGCTCTTCGGTCGAAGATCGCGTGGACCCGTTGGTCCATCTGGAGCCCCGTAGGGCCAGACCTCAGCTGAACGTTTGGTCCAGCAGGCGAGCTAGGGTTGTAGCTCTTGCTGCTGTCCTCTGATGGGACCGCAACTGCAGATGCAAGATGGCGAACTGCCTCAAACATGGGCAGGCATGGTCCTCTTCCAGACCGGTGCCATAAAAAGGCTGACAAGCGCACCACCGCGTTGGGTGGGCATGGGAAATGAAGCTCACTGCGCTCTTCTCCGCCAAGGGGGCTGCCTCGTTCCACCAGGTTCTATGTGCCACCTGCAGGTGTCCATTCATGTTCCTGGGCCAGCTTCCACAGGTGATGCATTTTTTCACAAGTCGATGGCAGAGGCTGGGATTGTCCACAAGGATCTGGGTGTCTAAGAGATCGAGGCTTCGAAGCCACACTCCATGCCAGTTGTCGTTGATGGACGGGTCATGAATGATGTTGTGCACCTTCTCTTCCTCAGTCAGGATTGGTGATTCATCCGTCATCAATGACACCTCTTCTGCACCACCATGAGGAGTGCAATTCAGCCAAAGCAGACAGCTGTTTTCTTGTGCCACCAGCGGGAGTCTTGAGAACTTGACCGGCTCGTTGGAGTCGTCATAGATCCACCACCAGTCATGATCTTTGATGGCAGTGCAGTAGTGTCCACTTGTTGCTTCATCCCCGAGATGATAGGAGACTCCAGTGACCACGAATGGGATGTAGTCCACCTCGAGCTTGCCGTCCAGGAAAAAGGGCAACCAGACCTTAGAGTCCCATGTAAGTCGGGTTTGGCTTTTCCTCCCCCTCGAATCGAAGCGGTCGATGTGCAAGCATGTAACATCTGAAGGGTCAGTCAGGGCGTGCAGCCCGAATGACGCAAGGCTCCACGTGGAGACCAACCCCTGCAGATCGATGGGAAGCGTGCTCTTTTGCTCGCTGCAGATGTAAAGATGCAATGGGCATCCTTGGGCATTGTGGTCCACCACCTTCATGGCGCCCTCCTCCTCCAGCCGGCTTTCCCAACAACAGCTGAGAAAAAAGGGATTAGTTTGCTGAAGAAGATGATGAGCAAAGTCAACCACGTCATGTTGCCGAAAAGGATTGGACCAATTGGCTAGGAGTGAGGTCCACTGCCCATCTGACCATAAAAGAAGCGGTTGCCCTTTGGACACATCTGCCATTTCCCCAAGAACCCCTGGGAAGTTGGACCATTGATCCACCTTCAACCCATCAGCTTGAAGGGCACTCCAGGCTAGTCCAGTCACAGCTGAGTTCATGTAGCACGCTGCAGCAGGATTCTGAAGTGTCCGTAGAGGAGGTGTGGTGGGTTCCATCACAGTTGATCCAGCATTTTGCCCAAGTGTTGTGCAAGTGGGGTCCTGTGAACGCTGGCCGAGCGCATCCTGCCCAGAACTAGTTGCCATAGCCCGGAGTGGCTCAGTTGGTGCCACAGGCCCCTCATCTCGTTGGCATGAGGGTGAACCAGAGCCAGTGTGATTCTCCAGGGAATGATAGCTGAAGGAGTCTCCGTCTCCGTGGTCATGACCTTCTGGATGTGCTGTTGTGGGCGGAGTGCCCCGAACCGTTTGACCAGAGCCTCTTGCTGTAGTAGAGTGAGCATTCTGGTCACCGTCTGAGAAGCCTGGGTCAAGGTCAGGGGTGCATCCTCCTGAGCCTCCATCGCCTGCTTGCTGGAATTCCACTTCATACGAGGAAACATGTATGAGTCGGGCTTCTCGGGCTCGAGTTGCAAAAAGTTCAGGCGTTGCAATGTCTGGATCAAGGGCTCGGAGGAGCCCGTGGATTGAAGTTTCTGAATCCTCTTCAACAGTTCCTCCAGGAGGGTCTTCAGGACCAGGATCCGGAGTGGATGTGTCCTCTCGGCCTGTGGTGTCTGCTGCCATGTTTGTGTCTGTGCCATCATGAGAGGAATCACTGATCCGGGACCCACGCTCAAAAAAACGAAGAAGTCCGTCTCCATAGCCAGGCATTGGAGTGTGTCTTCGTGCCGAAGGACGAGGCGGGTCATGGCTTGAAGGAGCATCTTTGTATCTTGTGTGGGTTCGTCCTTGGTGTTCAGGATCTTCCCCTGGCCTCTTTTTCCTTTTCCTTTGCCCGGCCCCTTCCCTCCATTCGACATGGAAGACCTCGGGCGCTTTGCGCTCTGCTTGTCCTCGTCCACCTCCATCTTCACCCACTGGTTCAGTGCTCCCCACATGTCCGAGATCTGGTTGTCCCCCATGTCCATGATGAAGGATTGCAAGGAGGCCGGACAATTGGAGGAGAACTGGACACTGCACTGCGGTAGGATGGTTGCTGCAGATGGAACATGTTTGCTGTCTTTTCTGAAAAAAGGACAGAAACCTGTAAAACAAGGCACCACGATTCCCTTGTTTGGAGTGATTGTTCCAAATATGTTGGAGCATGTCTCTTGGGTCCACTTGTCGTCCACATAAGCAGCACCATGTACTGAGAGCGGTGCAGAGAGTACTGTCCGTCAGGATCTCGTCAAAGTTACCCACTGTGAGCATGCTGTCAAGATCCGGAAAGTTCAGAGCCAGCGTGGGGCTGAGCACTTGAAGATCCAGCCGAAGTGCATGTGCCAGGATGAGCTCGTCACTGGCATTCTGGAGCTTGTAGAGATCATGATGAACAAACAATGCCAGCTGAGTGAAGACCGTGCAAACGTGAGGCGTCGTGGGTGGCCGGAGACAGGAACAAGCAAGGTTCCGTAGTGCGCTGTCAGTTTGAAGCCATTCAGCATAGGAGGAAGCCATGGTCCAGGCAGTGGTATGCGCCGTGCTCAGACGCTTCAGTAGGGAGGATGAGCTGGATGATTGATGTCCACACAGTCCGCAAATGTAGCCCAATCTTCGGATCAGCGATTTATAGGCCATCAGGTGATCGTAGGTTCCTCCATGAAGGCCTGAAATCACCAATGGATGGTGCCATAGGAGAGGAGGAGCATCTGGAAGGGGTTCAGGACATTGGCCACCGTCAATGTGGTGCCGTAGAGCTGCAAGGCAAAGAAAGGATGCATTGCAGTGAGCACACTGTGTGAGGCCTGGCACCTGATCCCTTGCGGCCATGAAGGTTCTCGTGGTCGTGGTGTGTTGATGTTCCATGACCTGATGCTGATGTAGGCCTGCTGCCGTCACGAATTTCCGTGGGCATTGAGCGCAAGCAAACTGTGCATCCATCCGTTGAGGAGGTTGAAGTACTGGTGGAGGACATGACGGATACTGCTCCCGGTGTTTCCTGTAGGCGAGTGCAAGACCAAGCTGCTTTTTCACCGGACAGGTGTGTGTCTTGGAGCGGAATTCTTGTCCACATAGTTCACATGGAGAGTTGGTCCTAGCTCGAACGACATTTGGGAGAACGTCCCCCATCATGCCATAGATGTCTCCATGATCTCTTCCCATGTGTGCTGACATTTGCTGCAGTCGTGATGACCAAAAGCCGCAAAGAATGCACCGTTGGGTCAAAAAGTAGCAAAGACTCCTGTCGTTGGCAAGGGGTGCCATGTTTCCTTCATCAAAGTAGGCCAGCAACCGTTGTCGATATTCTTGAAGTTGTGCTGGCGGGGCCTTGGTGGAGTCAAATTCAGAACATGCGTAGAAGCTGATATGATGCCTGAAATTCTGCCAACTTATGAAGGATTCTCCACAGTGCCGACATGTAGGTTTCCCTTCAACTGCATCTCTAGCTATATCCAAGTCGGGACCAGCACCATGCAAAATGCCGTGAACAAACAGTTCATGACGTCTCAAGGTGTA